TGTTTACATTTTAAAGTAAGGACAAACTGTATCAGATTGGAAGATATAAGGGTATGTACTAAAAATCCATGCAGTAAGCATCCTGTACCTACAATTACCATTCTAACTATTCATTCAGGGCGATTCTTTTCTCCCCAGGTGTAAATATAATCACATCACCAAACATAGCCAAACGCTACGCCATTTCAAGGGATGGTGGAGTCCTGTGCCCTTACACTTCACACTGAGGAGCTTCTTTCATTTATTTCTACCAGAAAGGACCAAGAAGTGACTGCACATGACTCCTATGACTCCATTTATTTAATAGTAGTTCAGGTAAATTCCTCCTCATTAAGGCCAATGAGCAGACATCAGGACATCCTGTGCTTGCTTCCCCTTTTTGCATCGCTGATGCAAACACCAGCAGCTGCTGGTGTTTGTGGTGACACCAGTGCAGGGTGGGTTGCACTTGCGTTTCTAGTTCTAGATAAAAATATGTTAAAGAAATAATGAAGGCAGTCTCTTTTAAGGCAGCCTCACAGCTACACAACTTTCTAGGCTGGTGGCAACCCTTAGGCATGTCACATCCCATTGTTGCAGCTCTGCCGATGCCTAGGGAAGTGGCCACCTCCACCCATGGAGCAGATCCACAATGACCACCTGAGGTTTCTTCAGCTCTCACATCTGAGAGAAGCAGGAGGTATGACCCGTTGTAATCACAGGTCATATCACATCGCAACAGCTCAGCAAAGTGGCCGGTGGCACAAGTCATGTCAGCAGTTAAATGACAGGAACCAAGTTTCTGCCAGGTCGTGGCGCCAGGAGCCAAATAACGCATGCATACTGATGGCACATAATGGCATGCACAGCAGATACATCTTCATAAAGATAATATAAGTTAAGCTTCTGTCCAGGACAGGAACATGTCAGAGCCATAAGGTGTGGAAGTCAATTCATTTACATCACATTTTAAATTAGACACATTTTAAAACTGTCCCAAGGCACACTAATACATCAGGTGTCCTGAGCCATTTTCTGTGTTACTACTTCCCAATAGAAAATAAGCCCTGAAATTGTATTTAAACTGCATCTCTTCTTCCATTCATAAGTGTAGATTAGGTTGTGTGTTTAGGAAAAAAAAAAAAAAAAAGTCTTTCAAGAAAGCAGCTATGCCATGTTAGCAGCAAATGATGTCTCTAATGTTGTCTCTAATGACAACTTCATGCTTATGAGGAGTAAGGGAAACTCTCAACGGATTTATTTTATTTAAGGGAAACTCTCAACGGATTTATTTTATTTTTTTTCAAAAAAGATGTTCTCTTCATTTCCTTAGGAAACTGGCCATGAATGTAAGTGCATGTAAACAGAGAATGCTATGCAATTAGGCTGTTCTTAGAGACATATGAATACAAGCACAAATTAATTTACAAGTCTTTATCTGCAGTTGCTTATAGGAATTTTTACACTACTCTGCTTCCAGAGCAAAGAAAACCACAGCCTTTGCTCTTGACTGTGGCATCCAAAGCTAAAATGCTTGGTGATGCTTCTTGTGTGGCTGCTGGAAGGGAGAGGAGCAGAGCTGGGATCCAGCCCTGCTGACAGGAATGTCAGGCTCCCCAGGCCTTCGGGATATTTCTGCATACAAAAGCCCAGATGTTCAAAGTGTTTAGCTGCAAGGGTAACTGTAGGTGTGGTACTTGTGCATGCAAATATCCCACCTGTGAGCATAACTGAAATTATGCAGGAATTATTCAGGTGTGCAGCACTTCAATACTTCTTGGTAATTTGTCTTCTGGAGCCTTACTTTGCTGCTATTTTGTTGTACTGTTGTGTGATACAGGAGTGGAGGAGAGACAATCCCACACAAGACAGATTTCAAAGGCTTTGAAAAAAGTTGCATGCTTTACAGCAGTAATAAACACCTGGGAGCCTTGAAACAAAATACGACAACATGAATACTCCTTCATTATTTTGTTATTAACTTCTAGGACAGATTGTCAGGGTATTTGGCAAACTCCTGACCCTCCACTGCTCTTACTCACAGTCACCGAAATACATGTATCTTACTGGGATGACCTAGCTGAGGGCACAGGAGTTACCTCCCCACACTGGACCAAGATCTCTCTCCTGTCTTTGGTTGTGGTCAGCACCAGCTCCTTCAGCGTAAAGTTTAAAACCTCAAATACGTAGGATGTGGGAGTAATACTTCTTCCACATCATGGCTCATTTTGGATTCTGAAAGGAATTGACTCACCTTGCTTTCACAGACAGCTGGGCATCCCTCTCAGCACCTTTATCCAGGGCTCTTACAAACAGCAGTCATCTTGGTATCTGTCAAAATAACCAATTCCTTTTTCTGAATTACGCTGCATTCTCAGCCTCATTGATCCTGCAGGGCCATGAGTTCCGCAGTTCAATTTCACGGCTTAAATCAATCCCAAATTCTCAAACACATGCAATTACATCGTGACATTTGCATCACCATGCTGCCTGAGCTGGACCACGAGCAGACGCAGGGCTTGTGCACGCACGGCAGACAGTGCGAGGCCGGCAGCAGCCTTCTCATGGCAGCTTAACAAGCTTTCCCCTCCACTTTCTCTATCTACAAAGCCAAACAGGCAGGTTTGTTCCCTGAAGGGCTTTGCTTAACTTCCACAGCTCTGCAGAAGACGTTGCACAAGCACCGTGCCCAGCCAGCACCCAGCATAAAGCATTGCCTCTCGAAGCCCCCTGGGGCTGTGCTCAGAAGGTGCTGCAGCACGGGCTGCATGAAGGCCACCGAACTGCTGCACAAACTCAGAGCCATGTAGTCGGTGTAAACATGCACATGGAGCTCCTCTTCTCTGCCAGGCAGCTTACTGTTCAGCTGACATCCCCTGCACTGGGCGCTACTGTGGCACAGAAAGTCGTTCAGGTGAAATGCCGGGAAACCAAAATTACAATTTATCTGTATCTTCCATTTGGAAGGATAACATTTTGGACTCTATCACTCCAGTGGATACTGCTCACTCGGGATTAAAAACAGCACGTATTACTGCACACCGATGGTTCTGCAAGTAAAGCAATGCTTTCAGTTCTTGGGCTTGCCCAGGGAAAGAAGAAAGCATCTTGGTTTGGACTGTAATTTACACTGATATTAAGGGCAATGGCCACAGGTTGCAGCTGCCATGGGTTTGTTATTATTACACCAACTTTCCCACTCCAATATATTTTTGAGCAGCTTGCTTAATTGAGTTTATTCCATCACGATTCACAGGATAGCATTCTTCTCACATCATAACCCACTGGATAAAATATATTAAGGTCTGGTGGTATTCTTCCTAATAGCATGGGGTTGTCATTCCTTTTGTAACTCTTACTTCCCATACGTAACTCAAAGGTTCGGTGTAGGGCAGTGTTTAAAAAGATTTAGGCCCCCAATATTATTGAGAAACATCAGATCTTACTGTTTATACCATGAACAGTTACATCTCTGTGGTAGAAAGCAGGGCCAGCCAAACATCTTCAACAAGAAACTGGGTTCTCAGCAGCTGAGACAATTTTCCTTCTCAATTTCATCAAGTTTTTTCTGTGGGAAGAGGAAAGCGTGTTCCTGACCTTGCTTTGCAGACACAGCACCACCACGGCTTGATGCTGCGGGATAAACTCTGGGCAGGTGACATCCTGCCTGACCTGGGGAGGTAAAGCTATCTACAACAGCACTGTGTGTTCATAGTAACCATCCTGTTAAAATTATGAACTTGAATAGCAACAAAACGCCACAGGCACTGCCTTCTGCCCTAGTTAAGCTCTTCTCTTGTGATGAACCACTGTGAAGTAGCTGCACATTGACAAGGGCCGTGTAGGTGCAAGGCTGGTAATAATTCTTTTTTCCCCTTCTAATTATTCAAATAAGAAGTAGCATTGAGCTAAAAATAAGACCAAGCATTCTCCAGATCTGCAATTACTCTCTCAACTTGTACTTGTCTACAGTATTTCTTCAGCTAATCACTACAGCGCAAAACATGCCAGAATTGTTTGAAATCAGAATTCAATCCCAGACACAGTAAAAGACTAATAATGAATGTTGTTTACACACATTTAATTCAACATACCAGAAGCAATATTCTCACTCCCTTTAGCATTTTATTTGCTTATAAATACAAGTCAATACCACAAGATGGCACTTTCTTACTTGCAACACATACTATTATAAACACATACCCTCTCCAAATGTTCCCAGATGTTTACAACATTTAACTTTTCAGTGGTTTTGAAACATTTAAAAAAGCAAGACCTTCTACAAACTGTTTTTGTGTTTGATGTATATTAAATGAGGTCAGGTAATTAAATTCAAAAAAAGAATTTATAAATATTTCAGATAAGAAAATTTAAATACAAAAGCAGAGTTTGTATTAATTAAACTGAATAACAATTTAAACTGGCCATAATGTATCTACATGGTTTTATTTAATTTAAAATACTTTTTAAACAATCAAATCCTCTAGCCATTCATCAAAACACCTATCTACTCAACCTTTTAAAAAATATTTTCAGTTAAGAAACCACCTAGGCTTTTTCTTAGCAATCCTTATTCTGTCCTGTAGGTGGAAATGAAGTGAAATCATATTCCAGACTAGAAAACAGGATAAGAAGGAAGAAACTTTAAAAAACCAGATAACTTCAGATACTCCAACTCATTATTCTTTGTGTTTCTCAAAATACATGATCCAGTTTTAAAGTCTTTGAACGAAATGTAAACACTATAAAACTCATTGTTGAAATATGTGAAGAATAAAGAACCCTGCACTAATATAGTGCATAATGATGCTGTGTCAAACTTGTCATTTACAGTAAATGTCACATTTTCCTCTGGATTGTCATGCCTTTTTGTTGGTGCTTTTTTTTTTTTTTTCCAATACTAATTCCTTTTGATGTCAGTAGACTTTTTTTTTTTTTTTTTTTATTCCCATTGCTCAACAGGAAGAGATGCATTTTCCAGTCTCTTCAAAAAAGTTGCACAAGATCCAAGACTTAAATTCTTTTTTTTTCTTTTTTTTTAATAACGAGGTGGCAAAATTTCAAGCTTGCGGTATTTCTGTTCTGCCCGGTATATTACACATAAGGAGATTCCTCAAAAAACTGAGAAGTCTGAGAGTTACAAAAAAGAAAGCATTTAAGGCAGTCAATGTCTACATTTGGATTTCTTTTTTATGTTACATGTCAATGTCTCCATCATAGGCTAAGGTTAGAGGCTTCTGTTGTGGAGGAGTGCTTTGATGCTGCTTGCTTTTTTTGCTGTAAGAAAAATAAAAGTATTTCAGGAGGCGAAAAATGCAAATGGTAATAGAGTGTGAAGCTCAAACATGTCAACAACAAAAACAAACTTCAACAAAAAATTATCTTCCCACACTGGCTATTTTCCTTGGCACCCTATTGAAACAACCTTAATTATTATTGAGAAATACACCTCCTCATTAGCCTTCAAGTGATGGAGAACTATGCAATGCTATTTTAAAATCCCCAGTATGCTCCGCTGTATTATCTCAGAAACAGCAGCTATATAGCTCAAAAATAGGAAGCTACAACTCCAAGGCATCATCCAAACACTGTTACTTAAGCTTTTAGTTGAAGAGAGAATGAGGGAAAGGATGAGACAGCGGGAGAGAATAAAGTGATTTTGGATGAAGTAGAGTAATGTTGCTGTTAGGACATGGTTGAGACTCTCCCTCACAATAAAACCCTCCATCAGAGACGCCCTCGTGCAGACCAGGGCTTCAGCACACCCAGTACCCTGTTTCTAGCAGTGACTGGTAATGGCAGCTTTAGACATTTGGCATGTCTCCTCCTGAGGTGTTCAGTGCCAAAAGCTATTTAGGGATTACCTAAGCTGGGGCGTACATCCAGAAAACCAGAATTAATGCCAAGAGACCCACCCTTCCATGAACTGTTATGCCCTTATGTTATTTCAATTCATTTATCTTTCTGGCACACATAGCTGCTGATAGCAGTAAGCTCACAAGGTAATAATGCACTCTACGAAAAATGAAATCTTTTGTTTATTTTAAGCAGTCACTTCATCAGATGTCTCCTACTTCTTATATTGCAGGATATAAAAATTCCCTAGCCCCCTTTTCTACTCCATTCCTGATTTCATAGATGTCTATTGTATTCCCACGTCAAACACCATTTCCAGCTGAATGACCCTATTCTGTTTGGTGCTTCCTTGAATGGGAGCTGGCTCCTAGATCTAATCAGTCTTCTTGCCCTTTTTCAGTTTTATTAAAGAATACAACAAAAAGCCCTTTCTAATCCCAGCAGAAGTCTGAATATATGGGTTTGTTGATAACCAAAAGTAACTCTTTCCCTGCTTAGCCACCAAACATCTTCATGGTCAGGTCAGTTGGAATTTGCAATTTGGAGAGCTTTAAATTACTCTGAGGTAGGAGCCAAATGAAGGCAGGTCCCTCATCCAACTTCCATTCTTCCTTAACACCTTGAGGATTAAATCTCTGCATTGCTATTTAAATAAAAGAGAACAAGCACAGCACAAAACACGTTGTCCTTACCACATCAGGAAGGATGTAAAAATCAGGAAAGCTATGATGAGGAACCCGCTAGCTGATACTCCATACACCCACATCTTCAGTTTGCCATCTGTTGGAAGATTGGGAAGAAGGACAGGGGAAAAAAAAAGAAAGAATAAAAATCTTTATTCTAAAATACACAAATTCTCAAGATGATAAATAAAGAGAAAACAAACAGCAAAATTAATAGCATCATTGATGGGAAACACGGTAAGGACTGGTTGGGAATAATCCATTAAAAATATGCTTTCCATAGAAAAAAGCATTATTGTAAAAATCAATCTTTTTAAAGACATAATCTTAACTGTGGTAAGGACTTTAGGTTTTCCTCACTGAAAACTGAAGAGGAACTCCTTGTGTCAGTTTTCCAAAGCAGCCTTGTTTCACAGCCTGCCCTCTGGCTGAGCTCCTGCAGCCCCGTGCAGACAACCCGCGCACACGGCACAGCACCACAGCCACCACAGGCAGGCTCCTGCCCACAGAGAGCAGGGCTGGAGGGAGGTAACTGTGATGGACTTACTTGTGAGCCTCCTTGGCTGCTCTGGCAAAGAGCAGCTGAGTGTCAAGCTGACCCAGAAATCAATGCAGGGACACCTAGGGTGTTCAGCCTAAAGAAATGATGTCTGAGAAGGGATGTGGCTTTTCTCTGTAAGTACTTGGAGGTCACCTGGGGTAAACATCAGCAAGCCCTAGCTGAAAAGTGCCTGGAAGGCAAGTGGGAATTTAACTATGAAACTTGTTGCTGTCTCAACTAGAAACGGCCAAGAAACATTCGACAGTCCTGTGAAGGGATTGTCACAGCAAGAACAAGGCATCCCACCAGGTCTGCTATGATGCTCTCATATGCTCTCCATCCCTAACATAAAGGCATTAGACCATGTCAGCCGACAATTTAAACAATGCTATTTAAATTGCCTCTCAACTTGAAAAGTTTCTGTTCTGAACTCTGGCCTCCTAGAGTGTGGTGAAGAAAGGAAAAACACTGCCTGATTTGAAATCAGTTCTGTGCTCTCCTGCGGAGCATTTAAAAGAACAAAAATATCAGCCTAATTAAATCATTATAAAATTTGTGTTCCAAACTGTAACCAGGAAGGAAAATCACAAATTAACTAGAGAAAGGCACATAAAATTTTACTAACAGGTACAAGTCTGTAGACAGGCACAGACGCCAAGGACTATAGCACCAAAGGGTGGTAAATGCCATCCACAGAGGGAGCATTCACCATAGACTTGCTACCAAGAGTGTATCTGGTAGATAACAGTGGTCTGCTAGCACTAATTACTGCAAACCCCAGACCTGTTTTAGGAAAGCAATTACATATTTTGTCAAGAAGCAAGACAAAGGGGAACAACTTGAAGATGCCAGCCTTGAGATGGGGTCTGAAGAGCACATACAGACCAAAGAGGCACCTACAGGATGCTGTGGGGTTGGTGATATGATTAGCACACATGTAGCATATTTACTCCTTTGCCATGTGTTGTTTCTATAACATTTATACCCCCAAATTAAATAACACCATGTTCTGCTGAAGTTCCTTAGCCCCTGTTTGTATCTTTTAGTTCCTGTGGGAGAACAGGCTCACAGATGGTGTGCTGAGGTCAAGCCCACCAGAAGCTTTCAGGGCTGCCGCCTTGAACGCTGATTTAAGGAAGGGAAGATGGCAGCATCCACCTACACCCCTCTCCCTTTTACTAACTCCATGAAGGTAATGGGTGAAGACATGATACCTAAGTAAGACTGCCTATGGAGGGCCATGGATGCTGACAAAATGGCAATTAACCCCAAACCTGTGACTCAAACTGCTGGTGAACTGTGTGGGCTTCTGGATGATGAATCCGATCGAAAACCAGCCAACTTTAAAGGCTCTGGACCAAGCTCTATTAGCTCTGAGACTGTCAACGCAAAGGTTAACTACTGTATGCAAATCAAATATGTAAATGTAACATTCAAAGTGTGAACACATATATCAGACAGAATTATGGCTCCCTGAACCCTGCAACAGAACCTTCCGTTACATATTTTCTAAACTCCCCTGTTCGTTACAAACTAATAGGAAACAAATGCCATGTCAGGCAGCAGAATGCAGGGAAGGCGGCACTGACAGTATTTCTGAACAGGTGGACAACCAATGCATTTCAGTAAAACTTGACACGCCTGATACTTTTGTTTCCCATTTTAAAGTTTCATTTGCTTTTCAGAAATTGATTTTGAATAAATTAATTTTCCAAAATAACAGTCAAAATGGTGAGCAGCTATTATAGCTACAGCACAAGTCCTGAGTACCGGTTGGGTATGGTACATCCAGTTTGCCAGTTCCAGCTGGGAAGCACTTTATGCCAACCAAGCCAAAGATCCACTTAGGACTCCCTGCTTGGGCACAGCAGCTTGCCTGCTTCTGGCTTATTTTGTTTTCTTCACTTCAACATTTAAACCTTCAAACTTTACACTTCCTATCCTGTTTTTTTTTTTTTTTTTTTTTTTTTTTTCATACACTTTTGAAATACAGCAAGAAATAACCAATGTTTTCTTTAATGAAATCTTAAGTACTTTCTGCTCAGAATCTTCTAAAGTGCTCCTGATGCCTTCCCTGGTCCAAACACATTACTTACAGAAATATCATCAGATAAGTGTTCTAAGCATCCTCCCAAATCACATATGAGTATATACTTTTGCAAAATATTATTGCTTCGTTCTCTTTGCTATCTCTCAACATAAGAGATTGTGATTACTCAGTGTAGTCACAAAGGAACAGGAGATGACATGCAAGGTAGAAATTGTGAGGCTGCTCCACCGCTCCCAGACACAATCTCTGATGTTATGAGCTACAAAGCCTGTATCTTTCTTCTACAGAAATGTAGTAAAGAAAATTTATTCCATTCATATTTAAGTTTTTCACCTGGATTAAAAGGTTGAATAGACCATCCTTTGAAAATGTCATGCATTTTTGAGTTGACAGGTTTATTTTTTCCAGCAATGGTCTTAACATCAGCTTTCTTATCTTCTAAACCTGGTACCTTCATGCAGTAATCCAGGAAACCATTTGATCTCATTATTTCTGTATATCCTCGCTCACAACCGCAGACTCCTCTCTAGGTGATAAAAGGGAATTCGATATTAAAATGAATAGTATCCTCCTGAAGAACAGCACAAATTGCAGGTAAACTGTGAAGAAACCACAAGGTACATCCAGCACTTGTAATTAGCAAGTTAACTGCCATCACACCAAGGAAGCTATGAGCTGGTGCTTGCAAACCTATTTCAGCTCAAAAAGCCAAACTACATTGGCAACTGGTTGAAAGAGAGTCAATAATTACAGTATGGAAATATTTTCGTCAGAACAGACTTAATAATAGGTATCTGTGGCTCGATCCAACTCCTCTTATCAATAAAAAGTTAGCACTGACCCTGCTGGGCATACGAAAAGATTAACAAAGCAACAATCCCATTTCAGCCCCAAACCCCCCTGTTCCAAGGCATTTCCACCGACACGGGGCTCTCTCTGATAAAACATTGCCTCTTTGGACTAAGCATCTGCTGCCCTGGACCAGTGCAGGCAGTTTCTTCAAAAGGTTTCTTAGAATGTGGTGGTTCACTACACAGATACTCCATTTTCTGGATGTCTACTTTAATGCATTTAAAAATATATATATAATTTTTTTTTAGATTGCCTTTCTTTTCTAAACATCTTATTATTACAATGCCCGTCTGAAGGTCTGTCATGCTCTGTACTACCCAAACAGATACGGGATTTACAGTATCTGTGATAAGAATTTAACACTTGATGTCAGTTTTTATCCCACACCATCCCCAATTGTTGTCAGACACGATCCTGAGCTTTTTTGATCAGAAGGTGAAGGAACTCTCAAGAATTTAAATAGCTAATGAATGCACGTCTGCCCATCGTGTGTATGGCTCTGTAGGCTCTCACAACAACCCTTATAGCTCTATACAATTGCCCATGAGCTTGTTTCCAATGGTAATTCCTCCCACAAGATACTCAGCTGAAGCTGAGAGCTGTGGAGGCTGTATTTAAAATAGAAACATACACCCCAGCTGCACCTGGCTACTTCAAGGGTTCTGGGTTTTGTGCTCTGCCACAGAGCTGACACAGAGAACAAGGAGAAGGCATTTTTGGAAGCTCTCACTGGAGTTCAGTACTACAAGAAGGGATGTTTTAACCTCTGGGCTCACATCTGCTCAGAGGCAAAGAGGAGATGCTTCCTCAAAGATGCAGCAGATGTTGCTGATGCTGAACATTTCAGCAAGTGGGCTCCATTCCAGACCCTGCTTAAATGGTTAGTATGGAGGTGGTGGGATCAGGCTGCTACAGCTTCCTTGCACTCTTGGGGGCCTCCGGTGTCCTTGAAGGAGCAGGAGAGCAAATATGCTTTTATTTTCTCTCTTACATAAGCTTTAAACAGTCCATTTGCTATTTGACAGTAAAATAGCATTCAATAAAAATTAAACCAAGAGGTTCCAAACCCTCCCCACGAAACAAAACCAAAATTACAACACTAATATACACCATCACTCATCTGTGCAGGTTTATGAAGCTTTTCTCTTCAACTGAAATTCCTACAACTTCCTCGAGGTGGTACCATGGGCACACTGAACTATTTCCTAGGTCCTGGCATGCATTTAAGATCCAGAAGATAACTGAATAGATTTTGCGGTGTTAATTCATCAGCCACGTTCTGCAGCAACTACGCACCTGGGTGCAGTAGGAGAAGGGTTTTTTGCACGCTGGGCTGCAACGACGAACTTCAGCAGGTTTGGTCTGAAGAGCACACCCTCCTGGAAAAGAAGTTACTTTCCAAAAAAAGAGTGCTTTCAAGGGTATGTTGTACAATGGTTTTGACTTGGATCACCATAGAGTAAGAAGTGCATGCTTGCTTATTTTATATGGTTAAATAGTACTCTATTGAGCTCATTAGCATAATATCTGTAGGCATCACATTAATTAATTTGCCTTAACAAGGCAGGGAATTATTATCATACCCATCTTGTTAATGGAGAACAGAGACATTCAGATTTAAGCAATTTGCCCCAGGCCACATAGGAAGTTGGGGACAGAATCAGGAATTAGATGCAGATCTTCTGTGTCCTCATTAACGTCTTATCTACATAAAAAGATATAATACACTTAACGCCTTAGCCCATCCTCACTTGGGGAACTCTGCCTCATAGCAATAAAAAAAAGTGTTAATGAGTTCTTAACTACTTGGCAACCTTTGCACATAAAACTTTTGTATATTATCTTAACTAGTCCTTATAAATAGAGCTAGATAAGAACATCTGCATTTTCGTTCCTGCTCTCTCTACTCATTCATCCTCTGCATACTGAGAGAGATCCTGCGGATGTGCGAGCCCTTTGCCTTTGTCAATCTCTCGTGGAGCATCAAAGTGCTGACCATGGATTTCACTTTTCATCCTGTGCAGGCAGAATTTGTAGGTCACAGCACCAGCAGGAATCTCACAGTCTGAGTGATCTGAGATTCCTGTCTATTGAATAGAAGGAGAGTTACAGAAGCTGGGCTCTCTACCATCACATGTGATTTTCTCTTTCTCTCCCCTGTTGCTGGAAAGTTGCACTAACAGCTGTACAAGGCTGCCTAGGCAGACGAGTTACTGTATGTGCATTTGTCTCTTCCTGTGGACAACACAACCGTCGGGGTAACTCATGCAATGACATGTGTGATGGTGACCTGACAGCAGAGCTGGTGAGTTGCCACCTGTCTTTCCCACACGTAAACCTGAACTGAAATTCTAGAGGAATCAGGAAGGAAGGCTGACTGAGTAACTGATACAGAAGAACAACTTGTATGAAGACTTTCCTTTCATAATTGTGCATGGCAATTTGGGGCATACCTGTGACATTTATTCCGTCCGAGCGCTGGCACCACACTGTGCGTACATTGTCTCGCCAAAGGCTGGTTTTCCACAGGTAATTGTAACACTTCCCTCCTGCAACGTCAATACCAGTTAGTCTTCACATTGCAAGAGAATCAGAATAAACTCTCGAGTGAGAGAAACTCTGGCAAGGCTACCTGAGCAAGGCCGTGTCTCCACCACTTGTCCGGAGCAGCTCTCGGGGCTCTCAGGGGACTGACCTACAAATGCCCGGGATCGAGCCTGTCGACCCGTTGTCTCGAAGCTCCTGCCCTCGATGCACGTGAGCTCGCAGGAGCTCCACTCCGACCACTCGGTCAGGTGGCAGTCACCTGCACACAGGAAGAATAAATCACAGGTTTCCCAAAGGAACCAGCCTTAAAGGATTAAGGACAAGCTGCGTACAACAGCTTTAACAGTGAAATAACCTCAGTTTATCACCCAATGGTATGCATTATTCAGATTTTCTGCTTCGCGGGGAATCTCATTTTCTCCAAAAAGAAAGCCTTTTACAGGTGATCTAGAAACAGCAGACTGAGCATTTACGTGATTTGCTGAAGTACGAATTCTGACTGCGGCAGCTGCCAGTACTCAGCTATGCAAGCCTCTCCGTCTCAGAAAGCTATTGCAGACAGCAGCGTCCTGTGACTTTCAAAAGTCTTTACCTGGGCAAGGCACGGAGCATGGTAACTGCAGCACGGTCTCTTTCAAAGGCAGCTCGGCACATAATGCATTTTCCACTGGTTTGGCTGTAGCAGAAGCAGATGCGTCATGCACTACACAGGTGAGGTTGCGCATCTTGCAATCCATCTCCACACTGTCCACCCTAGGAAATGACAGAGGGGAACAGAGACACACATTGCTGGCGTTAGCAGATGGCAGAAGAAATACACTTGATTCCACCTGTAAATAAAGACTTCAAAGATATAAATCCAGTTTCTGGACTGCAATAGTATCCCCAGTTACAGGGAAGACAGGTGGAGATCTCCTTTGTAAGAAACTCTGCAGAAGCTCAGAGGCAGAGAGCCACATGGAAAAATGTGTATAACCAGAGAGGAGAGAAGAGCACACAAGTCCTTTCCTTTCCATGTCACGGAAGTCCAGGAAGAAAGGAGTCACCAAGCAGATGGGGCAGAGCTCAGGCAGGCCCTTTTCCTGCTGCAACAGCGAAAAATAGCAAATGTGAAGAGCACGGCTTCAGGAGAGCTGGTCCCTTCCCACGTGACAAAGCCTTGAATCTCCTAGGGGAAGAGGTGGGTACTATAAAAGATTGAAAAGGAGTGTTTTGGCTTCTCTAAAGCAGCCAAGGGCAGAGCCTGCCCATAAGCAATGGACATTTCCCTTCACCTCCTTTGACGACACAGCCCAGTATGAGCAATTAAATGCTTTAAACTCTGCAACAGCACAAATCCTTCAATGTCTTCAATTAGGCTGCGAGGATTAATGTGCACTAGGATGTTTGTGTAACTTCTTAATTGTACAGGGAGTTTCCGGTTCTGAGGTGGAGACATCGCCAGCCTTACTGAAATGCCATCTGAAGCCAGCCCCAGCTTGTTAGCATTGAATCCGGTTTGAACAAGCGTTAGGTGGCTCCATCCAAGCCACTCCACACTCTTCAGTCCGGTTCCGAAACACTCAGTAAAACACCAAACCACTTGCTGAAGACTTCCTCTACCAGAAAATCAATGTTGTTTGGTTAACCCAGCGATGAAGATGCTGTGAGAAATGATGCCCTGAGGCTCTTTCTAGAGAGTGGAATTGTTTCATTTTCTTCTGAAAAACAGAGCTGTGTTGATGTTTGAGGCACATACATTAAACCTGTGCGATGCTTTATGAACGTGCATCTTAAGCCTTATGGAAATAGCACTTCACAAAATTCAGTAAATAAAGCTCAGGAAAAAGGATGAAACATTGCTTTTATACAACCAAAGGAAACACTACTTTGAATCACTTGGCAGTAGATTCTTTTAAAGTAATGGACTTCATCTGCAGAACAGAATGGCTCCTACCAAGTCCATTTATTCGGCAGCATGCTTTGATAGCAAGAATCTCAAGAATGGCTCTCCTGTAAACATCTGGCACCATTTTCATTTTCTCCATACCTTTTCTGTTGCTGGCGCACGGTGATATAGAAATAGACGTGTAACTAGTTGGGTTTAGAGCAGTTGCTAATCAAAAGCATCTTAGAGAAATATTAGTGTAGATTTACCATATGCAGCCAGATTTCAAGTTTTTAACACCATGTTTCATTTTAGTCAGTATGCAACTTACTGTTCTAAATTACTGTTTCACCCCTGAAACCTCTATAGCGGCCTGAGATTAATGGTGTGTGAATAACTCATGCGGCTGTCAATTGGGTTAGAGTTCTCAGAAATTGCTGGTGGAAACAGAATACAATGTGGAGAAAATTCCCTGGGGAAATGGGCACTAATCAAACTGCAGTCCATTCGCAGCTCAACGAAGTAGGCTCAAGGAATGGCTGAGGATTATTGAAAAGGACAAAAAAAATGTGAAGATACTTGTTCTTTTACAAACAGTACATAAATATATAAGTATTTGGATAGATATAAATGCATGAATAGTTATGTAAATACAGACACGAATATAAAGAATAGATTAAAAGAATACATTTTTGGTAATCTCCGTTATAAAAGTTAGCATGCCTCAAAGCAACATTCTTCATCCTTCTATCATGAAATATTGGCAATATATTCATATTTCCAATATTTAGAATAAATAAATAAATATAAATAATGGACTCTCAAACAAATCCAAAAATAAACGTTAGCTTTTTAACAGTGTTTTCTACTTTCTTGCTTTCATTCAAGAAAGACCTGAAATGCATTTTTACAATGAATTGAATGCATTTAAAAGATACTATGTCATCCTGTCATTTACAGAGGAAAATGACACAGGGCTTTCTTGATATATTTGGCAAGGTCATAAGCAATGCAGGAGTAATGCATTAACTTTCTTATCATCCTAAAAATTATTCATGTCCCCAAAATTATACATTTGAAGACCTAATTAATAGGTGTGGAATCAGTGGAAATTTGCTGCAGAAATGGCACAATGAGGATTCGGTGAGTAGCTGCTAATCAGAGGAGCATTGCCAAGGAGATGATCAAATATTCAAAACACTGGGGATCAAATCTGTATTGTAAGTGCTCTTCCTTGGGAGGTGTGATGATCTGAGGTTTGCACAGATTTAGCCTCTGCCTTTTGAGTCACAAGCTCCTTGCAGGAAATATGCAGGGACTTGACTTCCAGAGGGTCCAGGTCCATTTGAATTCCAGAGGTCCAGGGATTTGACTTCCATGGTTTCATGGTCTGTTTGGCTGCACAAATTTCTATTTTGACCCTTTGGATGATTCAGAAAAGCCCCTCGGTTCCCTAAATACAGTCTGGAGGTAGGGCCCCTCCAGAAGCAGCTGCACAGAGCCTCTACGTCTCAGTCCTTCACCCCAGGAAGGGTTCTTAGTCTTCTTATGAATGTTAGGCAGATAGTCCTTGATAACTGTCTAGCTGCTTGGCTGATATCCTGTTAATGGAAAAATTGTGAACTCTGTCATTCACTGCTAATTTTTACTTTCTTATTTTTTATTTTTTTTTCACTAATCAGTGTAAAACACTTCAACTCCAATGAGAAAATGATTAATGTAAAGCAACCCTTTAAGATTAGGTGTTTTGACCATTTTTCAGGTTCTGTACCCCTTTGAATGCAGCAGAAATGCCCAGGTCTGCTGGAGGGGTGCCTATGACATGTGCCTGTGACATGTGCCTGGAGAGCAGTGTGCTGATTTACATACTGTGAAAACCAGCAGTACTTAGCAGGCTCTGCTCCTAAACATTCACACACCTTTAATTATTCACATGAAGTCAATTTAACAGTCCTTCTACAATTAAGAAATGCAGTCTCAGTTATCTCATAATACAAGGAAGAAATGTTTTAGCTTTATAATTAATTGTCCTGTTTATATTACCCCAGGAAGACTTTTTCACAATATGCATTTTGGCCTTACCATATGATGTATTTACCGTCTTCAATACAGCATTCTTGAAAACGTGACTTCTAAAAGCTTTCTCTAGAAAGTACACTTAAGCTTCTTTTCCAGAAAAGTACAGGAATAAATCACCTTGTATTTATGAACTACATTTAATTCCAAAGAACCTCATTAAAGAGAGCTGAACGTGAAAAAAAAGGTCTCCTCTCCAAAACAAAGCAAAGGGGTGAGAAACTACAACACAGTAATTTAAGAAGAGGAGCGGACTCTATCTCACTGCAAGCACAGGATGATATCTAGCTTAGAGAAGGCCATGATTACTTGCTTTGAGCTTGAAATTTAGCTGGGTTCTGATGTGCACATTTTTAATTTCCGTGATGTGTTATTTTTCTGGAATATGCTAGGGCATTAATTCAGCTTCCCTACTAATTCTTTTATCAGCTATGTTAGCTCCTATCCTTGAAAGTCTCGTCCCTAATGTTTAGCAGAATTTGCTTACCTTTGCTGGGCAAAATATCAGCTGAGGATGTTATACATAACTAAATACTGTATGCAGCATACACAAAAAACATATTCACATCCTTACTTAGCTGGAATGAGTTGTTGTTTCGCACAGGAACCAAGAAGAAAGGTGACCCTAATATATATTTCCTGTTCTGTGATCTTGGGCTGTCCAAAGGCTGTAAACACTCCACATTTCATTTACAAAATGCTGGGGAAATTCCAGGTATCTATTCTGCTGCCTGCAGCATTTGCTACAGGTCCATCGACTGCACCAAGACATCGAGCAGACATAGAGGGCAGATCAGAAAACACAAGGGATGTGTCTTCACTTCCATTACTGCCTTCAATTTCCTCTGTTTGACAGTCTGGAGAAGCAGCCACAGACCTGTGCAGTGGTCCTGTGCCCCAGGATGAGGCAGGGCGATTCTTCTTCCACCTGCACCTCAGCTAGGATGGCTCTCAGCAGCCCAAGCGGGCTCCATTATGTCTGGGAAGCTGCAACATGGAAGATTCATCTCTGCTTAATCTGGGTTACCAATTTAGCAGGTTTAATATGGGTAATGTGATCTAATAGCTAAGGAGAAAAGAAAAAGTGTAGGGGGAAAAAAATCAATTCAAGCCGGATGCAAGTCAATGTCTGGGAGAGAATGACAACCGTGGTGCGGAGTGTGCGGGGAGCTGAATCCTGCCATTCCCAGGTTGCTACAAAGAAAGTCACACTGCGGGGAAAGTAAACGCCAGCATTTCATACAGCAGCACTAGTGCACTGAAGACCTTGCAGAGAAAGACCTGCTATATGGTACTTAAAATAAAAGATAAAATAGATGAAGCTCTGGAAACCAGGCATATCTATTTTCTCGTTAGAGTTACTTTATATAATTAAATTATAGGTCACCATGACTATGCTTGCTCAAGCACATTCACCACACAAATCTCCTTTAGTACCTCTATAAGCTCACAGTGCTTGAACCTGTCCCGCCGTAAATCGCTGCTGACGGCCGGGAGATCAGCGTGTGCAGGTTTACAGTTGCTGAACTTCCCAGCCTTTACACGCCTCTTAAACCTAAATCAACCTCGCCACCCCATCCTCATTTCGGCGGCAGCAGGAATGCGAGCCCTACCTGGAGTCTGCAGGGCGACCAGGGGCCGAGATGCCAGCTGTAGCAGGGCTTCACCGGGCAGCTTCTGTGCTGGGTGAGCTGTGCCGGGCAGGGCCTGCCCTCGCCTTCAGCCTGCAGGAGCACTGCACGCCCGCGCACCATCTGGCCTGGCAGGGAGAGAGACACGGCACGGTGAGAGACAACCACGGGAAGGAGCAGAGGCAGATTTGGGGGCGAGAAGGGGGTTCTCGTTATTACAGACTCATTTTCCACCCATAAACACAAAGCTCTTTTTTAAAACCCACACAAAACGATTATTCAGGAAGCCTATTTAGATGATACAGGCTGCAATTGCCAAGTCTTCTGCTCCGTGATGCAGCCACTGATATTTCTGATATTTCTATTTTGTATGTTTTCCAAAGACGTTATTTGTTTATGCACAACACATTTAAATATTTGACTAAATCCTGATTATTAAATATGGCCAGAAAATAATTCCTATGGAATCATCATTTCTAACATCATCCATTCAATATGTTTCCGGAGATTTTTAACAAATGAAATTTCCTTTTTATGACCAATTATGTGCCTCTAATTTGAAAACTGCAAACACTCTAATGGCTATTACCATCCATAACCACTTCTGCCATTTCCATTAAAATCCTATTTATTATTGGTGAAAACTTCTTCAGCTACTGAATAGAAAAAGCAATTATGTTACTACTTTTGAAATAATAAAACTGAATACATTCATTAAAGTTACAGCAATTCCATTTCCTTCTCCTTTGCTGTCCATTTACGTCCAGGAATGTTTTCACTCAAAATGATTCAATTAGAATCCGGGCTCCAATTAAAACGAAAAGTGAAAAGAGCCGTTACGCAATGCAATGCATGAGATTGTGCTACGGATAAAATTTCTGCCTCACCTTTCAGTAGACAGGGATTTGAGAGGCAGTTAAAAAAAGGAGAAAGGACTCGGTAATAAGAGCACACACATGCAACGAGACAGATGCAGGCCGTAATTGCTAACTCCCTGAGAAGGAAAGGGAGGAGGTTTGGTGAGGAAGCGCTCCGCTTGTATGGCAGTCATTTAGCTGCAATCTGGAGTACAGGTGAGTCTGTGCTGGAAGCAAACACCCCTGCAACGCGGGGATGCCGTGATAGTCAGCCAGAGCCTGCTCGCAGCGATTTATGGACGCGTTCTTTAATTAACTGTGCTGCAGCTGTGCTTAGGGTATGCTTCTAATAGCAGCCATCGTGAATGTCTACAGAGCAGGGCTTCCCACAAAATTTTAGGAACTAAAAATTAAAAGCTAAATCCCCTGAAAAATGTAGTGACATATCTTAGCGAGCTCTCTTACCTTTACAGTGCTCTTCCCCTGTTCTGACCCATTGAATTCCATTTTTAAACCCATTTAAACCAATTTTAAAACCTTTTCCTTTTCCAGGTCTAATCCTCTGGACCAGGGGAGTTTGTAACAGAAGTGATGATAAAAGCTCTTATCCACATGGCTGTGCATTCAGCCGTCACAGAATCAGATACATTAGGAGGTGGAAAAATCCTACCAGCTGAGAGGAAAGGGAACGTAAAAACTCCTGTGGTGCACCAGGCGCCAGAGCCGGGAGGAAAGCTCCCGGTCCTCTGCTGGTGCTTGGGGTGTATTAACGTGGAGGGGGGCTGCAGCTGCCTCCGGGCCACACAGTGCCAAAATGCATCATGTCACGGCACCCTGAGGGAGAGCAGGTGGCTTATAACTGGCCTTTGATAAATCTGCATTGGACTGAATTTGTCCGATTTGTCTCGTTTCTTGAAGTGACCCCCGAGAGGTGGGGCAGAACTGCAACGCTCCATCTGCTTGCACTGAGGTTTGGGCAATGTGCTCCAAAAGGCTAAAGGAGGCAAACTGGAGACAGTCCAGAGGAAGGCAACACACGTACCAAGGTATTTGGAAAACAGAAGAATCAGAGAAGACTAAGGGAAGTGATTTTGCTTACCCCAGAATGGGAACCAGCCCCTGGCATGTAAAAGGTTGCTGCAGCCTGCAGCAATTTGCAGTTTGTAAAAATTAGGCCAGTTGTTAGGATATAGCTTTGTGAATTCTGGAGACTGGTTAGTGATGGAAAGGGCTCTTTGGGAGAGCATGGGAAGCCTGTGGATGCAGGGGTCTGGGGAAACAGGGCAGGGGGTGCCCTGGGACAGCAGCTCAGTGCTGAGCCCCTGCAGGCACCGGCTCTGAAATGGCAGCGGCAGAAATAGAGCGCTCTGAGGTTTAAAAGATCTGATCTCCTTAGGAGGGGCTGGAAACCCTGAAGTATTCATCAAGCTACTTTAATTCAACACATAATTTCCTTTTATACTCTCTGCTTAACAACTTTCTAACAAAACATAAATGGGAAGATCAATGAAGAAAACCCATGATTTTCCTTTTAAGAGGAACTAACAACCATTCTGTTTTTATTTACATTTTATTTTCCTACAGTCGGTTATCCAAACCTTTTAAATTTACTCCATTCACAGTGGTCAGCTGCCGTCTGACTTGTTTCTCTCTCCACCACTTTCTTTCTCTACTGTGAATAAATCATTAAATAAATAAATTTTGTCTAAGAAATTTTGTTGAAATCTCCCTTGGGCACAATCACTGCAGTGAATTTCTTAAAGCTCTATTGCTTTTTTTTCCTCACTCCATAAACATTATCTAGGTGCTCCATTGCCGCTCAAGTAGCAGAAAAACTCCACCTGTCGTTACTTTCTAAATACCTTATTTTTTACTGCCTATGGAGAAAGAAATCTCACTGCATCTGAAATTCATTTGCTTTTAACGCAAACTCTGGTATAGACAAAGCAATCCTAGTTATTTCTTAAATCTCCCAGTTAAATTTACCTTAATTTTCCAATGAATTAGCCACACGTTTGTTTCCTCTGCTGTGCAGCATTAAATTATATGAAAATTAAGACGAAATGTGTGCTGAAAATTGGAAATAACTGGTATTAACTTGGGGATATTTACACGGCAGTGTGTTCAACACTGGGTAACTCATGTAAACCCCAAAATTTTTCAGATGAGGTCATTTTTTATAAGTGATGAGGTACAGGTTTAGCTGTTTGTATACTATTTAGCATATCTGTTGGACAACTTGAGAGAAATCATCCAGGACAAGAAAACATTTACTTAGAAAAATAAAACAGCCTTGTGCATTTATTTGCCTCAACAAAGGAAAAACAGCGTGCTGGGAATTACCTTTCTCCAGTCTTTATCCATGATCTTTTCCAATAACTTTGTTTCAGGCCTTGGGAACATCATGCATTAACACAGTACCATACATCTTTCCCTAACTGCACAGCAACTGCTATGAGGACCCCTGATATATAACAAAACACCAGCATAAAGCCCAAGCCAGCACCCAGAGCAGATGCTGCCCAGAACCACAGCTGCAAGAGGCAAATATCTGTTACACATCTCCGCAGGCTCATCACAGGCAGGCAGGAGAGATCTACTTTACTCATCATCATTTATAAAAATCAATATATTCGCCTTTGGCTGCTGTATACCAGAACCATATGAGATGTCAGTGCCACGTACACAGCAGCACAGGATCATGTTTAAATGCATTGTTCCGTAAAACAAAACCTGAGCAAGAAAAAGGTACTATCCATTAAAATACATCACAGCAAATTAAGTTACTGGAAGAGACGGACAAAATAAAAATGTTAGCGATGTTGCTTAAGAAACACATGAAAGCATACGTCCAGTGACACTAAATTTTGATCTGAATGATATTTAAATTATGTTTCCCTTTGAAGTCATTTATGGTACTTCAACAGGCCCTTCACATGCTCTCCAAGAAAAGCCAGAAAAGCAGAATATTATTTGGAGCAAATGAGGAAAAGAGTGGAGGTAGTAACAGCACATGCAGCTGATTTGCTGTGAATTATTTCTAAGAAGTGTGCATTTAAGTCCTACATTTTAGCTTTATCAAAAAGCAGGCAATTATTTATTTGGCAAAGGGAAGCAGAATCAGTGTTTATTACAGCCTATTCCCACGGCTCGTTTATTGTCGTCCTTTGGTTTTCTGTGTCTAATTTGAGGTTTAATCCTATTCTCACAAATGCCAATGAGAAACTCATGGTGATTTTGAAGGTTTTGCTGTGTGGGAACATTCAGGTAGGAAACTCACACAATATTCATCTGTGAAGTACCGCCTGTAGGTGAGTATGCAATTAATGTCTTCTCTATTATTACTATCATTAAGTAGTACCCAATTGGAACATAACGAAGAAGCTAACAGGAAAGTGTCTCAGTTTTTACTGTTGGAACCACACAAAGGCCACAGCTGCAGAATTGGTGCTCAGGTGTCTCCATCACGTGTGATTGATATCAATGTTTAAAGCTGATTTCACAGATGCTTATCTTCTGTAGGTTCACAGAAGAATTATCTCAAGCTTTTGAGTTGTTATCTACAGTCCAATCTGTACTAGCCAGTTCTCTAGCTAGCTATATAACAGACTTTTGTTCTTTGTGGACCAGAAGTGTTTGCACTTGACCCTGTGGTTTAATTATCTTTAATGTGGTTTGACACCTACAGTAAGGACACTTACAGGAAGAGCAGAGGTCCACTTCTGCAGGGCACTGGTATTTTCGGTTGGATCAGGTCTCTGCAGAAGCCCAGCTCTGATTATGGCATGAAGAAAGTATTTGCTCCTTAAATGCACTAGGAATCATCAGGTTTTAAACAATCTTCGGGATCTGGATAAGTATTTCAGGATCAGGAATATGAGGCATACCTCTACTTGAGTAGTAGCACATCCCTTGCAGACTATGTAATGTGAGTGCTCAGGATAAAAAGACCTTCAGGTCTTTTTCATCACAGGATGAGCTGCTCTGTTAATCATGCTAAAAACCACAAACAAGTTTTTGCACATGTAGCCCTGTTTATTTTACTAAGTGATTGAACACTCAAAAAAAAAATTTAAGTTCATTCAGCAACATGAGAATTAACACTCTAGAATTGATTTTGAAAAAAAAATGGAATAATAGTATTCTTAGTGTGTTGTTGTTAAAACACTATCTATGAATTTTTCATTTATGTTGAGAGAGTACTACTTCATGAAAGGGTTAAAAATTCAGTAAAGAAAGAACACCACTAATCCAAATATTAAGCTTCCCCTGTAACATGCTTTGATCTCTGAAATCCATCTGAAGGGATCACTTTATGGAAGTTAAGAATTTTTTTTTTTGACCTTAAGTGAACTCGATTCAAATACACATTATGGCTCCTGAGTCTTGAAGCCATTACCTGTATGTGTGATGTGATGCACATTACAAGCTTGGGAAATAATGTAATGAACCTATTTTGAATATAATCTTCACTGCATTTCCTCATGATAACACTGACAATTTTCTTTTAATCATATAGCAGTAAGAAAGGCCTTAATTCTTTTACTTTTTATACGTAGGTAAGCATTATGAGCTACAGAAAACCATGCTGAAGTTACCGGAGTAATAAAAATACCGAGGAAGCTGTGGTTACAGGATGGAAGCAGAGGCAAACACTAAACCATGAACCATATTCTTCCATTTTTTTTCTTCAATCTAATATAGTTATGTTCCTAAAAGTAACTTTATCAAAGGATTTTTATTTACTTACTTATCTATTTATCAAGAAACCTGCAACTCCCTTGCATTTCTGATTCTCTGAGCACTCCCTGTGTTAACAGGGGTTAACATTTCCTATGACTGAAAAACGTTTCCTATGACTGAATTCTGAGAGTTTAAATTAATTACTAAAATAATCCTTTGGGTATCTATCCACTCGTTCCCTAAATTGTGTTATTCACTTTGGAGTACTGTGAAAAGAGCCTGCTTTGTCTCCAAAACTCAGCACCTCAGGAACTTTACCACATCCAAGTCTGAAGGGCTCAGTGTGAACCGGAGTGCCTGGTCTCAGTGCAGGGCTGGTGTAAGCAGGGCTGGGGGTGCCATCCAAGCTGAATTTTGTGGTGTGGGGTGAATAGGGCAGGAGGGTAGGTGTGGACTCACCGCCAGCACCACACGTCTGGGAGCACTGCGACCAGGCTGACCACGCTGAGAGCCGGCAGTCCACCACGCATCCCACCAGGCACTCGCTGCTCATCTCCACGGGCTTCTCCAGGTGACGCTGTTGGTGAGCAACAAAACGCACACGTTAAGCCTTAAGGAGTCACAGGGCGACATTGTGCCGTGTTGGGCATAAAATTAAGAAAATTAAATTAATCTTTGCCCATTTCCCCGTGGCATGTGGCCTTGCTCTTCACCTGCTGGCAGTGCCGCGCACTGACCGTCCGCCCATCGCTGCGCATGCAGCTCAGGAGCCGCTTCCTTACTCCTTGCCCGCACGTCGCGTTCTCGCTGAGCTGGCACGTGCTCCAGTCTGTGGGCACAAGACAAAGGACTCAGCATGGCAGGGCACTGCTACAACTCACTTTTTACCTCTCTGAACTCAGCATGCGAGTTGTCTTTTCCCAGTCCTTGGCTTCACTGCGTTAGCTCGTATCAAATCCAAGAAGAAAACCCACAAAAGAAAGTTGCTCTTAAATAAGAGCAGGTCTCCGATGAGAACTTTGTTGCTTCGTGCTTAGATATCCTTCAACAAAACTGGTACATCAGAGGGCACGGAACACTGTTAAATGCTGATAAAGTGTGTCAATGAAACCCAGCTGGTGCATTTACAGAGCTGTATTGTCTGAAGCAAAAATTCACTTTGATAGCTGTGGAAGTTTCTGACAAGCAACTATAATTTCACCTATTTCTTGTCTCAGAGCAAAATATTTCCATTATTTGAATGAGCTCTAATATTCATGAACTAAAAACAGCATTACTAGTAGAAGAAAATTCTGGCCAGAATACAAGTAAGCTAAAACAAGCCATAAAGTACCGTTTAAAATAAGCAGAAACCAACACAAGCAACTACAATTTCCATACACCAATAACAAATCGGGAGCATACAAGAGAAAAACCTATTACTTTGTGTTTTCCTCCTTTCATAAACATGAACACACAGCTGATCTTCATTTCTGAAATATGATCATAAAAAATATGACCATCATCATCATCATGCTGTCTGTACTTCTAGGGATTTCTTTCAAACAGGCTTGGTTTATACTCCATATTGCATTTTCTCCATCTCTGTTCTCCCTTCCCATCAGCCTGAAAATTCACCTCAGATCTCCTTTTAGGATTTTTCTCAATTATCTGAGCTAGTTAAAACGGAAGAACTTCTTCTTTCTCTTTGCTAGTTCATGTGTGACAGATTTATCTACTTCCAACTAAGGTCCTAAACAATGTATTTTGTTCTCAGTGTCCTGTGCCCACCCATACAACCTCTTTTGCCTTCAGATCAGACTGATTTTGGTATTATTGCCTTCACTGGAATTACATGGATGTTACATCCTCTTCACCCAGCAAAAACAAGACATCCCATTTACTAGTTTTATTTCCAGCATGCCTGCAGTGTTAACTCAACTACTAAAATAATGCGTTTACCCATTGACCTGTAAAAATGTACATATGTAATTAACGTTAGTGAAATTCATGATGTTAACAAGTAATTCTTGTAATGCCAAGGCTTTAACCAACACAACAAGCAAACATAACTAAAAACACAACTGGAGAAAGTCTTTAAGGAGCTGGGTTTTTTATGCAAAGACACTTAGAAAAGCAGAACATCAGCTTAATGTGCCTTGTAATTGGTGTCCCTTCCTGCAGAGAAGAAATTGGAAAATTATACCTACCTGTTAGATTGTATTGATATTGGAAGCAATTTTGGTTAAGAATACAAGGCTTCACTTGTGAATCTTCAGGGCAGGGCTTGGTATTGACAGAAGACCTCAGCACTTGTCGAGTTCGGGTTTGCACAACATTTGGATCACACACCTGTAGACAAAAGGGATGGACAGTGCAAGAGACCCTGGTAAATCACACAGACACTGACTGCTGGGGCCGCCACATGCAATCCCATGGCTACACTGAGTACAAGATAACCATGCTGACAGCAAGATGGGGTGACTTTTCAAAGCCTCCGATACCATATGCCAATGTCAGGCTGCCTATAATCCAGGATTTGTGTGCTCACATTTTAACATGAGTATGAGCCAACGAAGGCCTGTTTTCAGTTGTTCTGGTGCATCACAACCCCTGCAAATGTTTGTTTTTAACAGCCCTCCAACCTTATTTTTGCTTTCCATTTTGGTTGCAGACTTAGCATGGCGACCGATTGCTTCCAGCCTCACAAGAAATATCCCCTTCACACAGAGGATATCCCCTTCATGCAGAGGACAGCACCCAGTCATCCACAAATCCCCTCCTCCAGGCTCCTGCTTGCCCCCTGCAACACGAGAGACCTCTTTGAAGGCACATGGAGGCACCACCCAGCTCTGCCTTTGCATTTTAAAAGTTTTTCCCTTAGTTTACTTAATCTGGAGATGTAACATAAGCATTGGCTGGGACACGGGGAGCACCGTGTCCCCAGCCTGGCTGTCACGTCCCTGTCTCATGCTGACGAGAGCAGCTTGCCTCGGGAGGATGGAGTCACAGCTGCTGCAGATTAAATGCCTGTGGCACTGAGCAAGGCTAATTGGTGGAGAGGAGCACTACAGACAGCTGTTTTGTCTCATTAAATGAACTCATAAAAAAGTATAAATAGGCTTGCTCTGAAGCCAGGGTGATTATGAGAAAACGTAATAGCCATTTGGGCTTGTAAGGCTGAGAGGGAAAACCAGCCCCAAGGATGTGGGCTCTGGCCCACCAAGACTTGGCAGAGCTTTCCTACAGTCCCCCAAAGCGGTCATGGGCAATTGAGAGTGGTCCCAGCGAACCTAATGGCAATGAATCCCTATTAAATAATTCCCTATTATCCAGAGCCATTTACTGAACAAGATGACCTATTTAATTCCTAACAGTCTCTCATTAGGACCGAAGATTGCTCAGGAACAGCAAAGTAAACCAAGAAAACAATGCATGTAGAAATATGTTTTCATAAGTGCTTGGGAATTTTAAACATGATTTTTCTAGAGAGTATTTTAAATACAAAAAACAGCTAACAGTTTAAAGCCACAGGCTTATTATTATGCTACTAATTGCTGGCAAACACAGAACCCTGCATGGGTGAAAGTATGGATAATTTTCGTATTGTGAATATTAAAGAGAAATGTCATGGCATTGCAGCATAAATCTAGATCTCATACTGCTGTAAACTGGATTAGTTGCACAGATGACAGCATAACTAAACAGAATAAATACCAGGATAAATAGGAAAAAGGTGTGGTCCAGTCTGAAAACTGAATTGTCAGGGCCTATTTTCCTTATGTGTTTACTACATGAAGGAAATTTTATTATGTCCTCCTTGCTGATAAACACCTTGTCAGATCATTTTAAACGGTAATCTTATTTGAATACCCATGCTCATCTAAAATAACTAATTGTTCTCAATTATCCAAAAATTAAACCTGTGCTAAGTGTTTACCAATTGTTTACTGCCTTTTCCACAACTAATCAGATTGCTCATCCTCACAATGAAGACTAATAACTTAAATGATTTGCCAATTGAAAAAAAATAATCAAAGAAGGTATCTCAGTAGCTACTCCTAATTAATGTTTTTCTGCAGTATGTTACCAAAGGGAAAAAAAAAATCAATGAACGTTGTGAAAGAAGTTAAATTTGTGCCAGTTCCAAAATACCTGCCTTTGCTTCCTTTCAAAATAAGAACCTGTAGACAGAAATTATGCATAATTTATAGATAAATAACTGCCTTTAATAAAAAAGTATTTTCCCCCTGTCTAGGCTGCATCCTGTTCTGTGTGGTTACAGGGCACTGATGCAGCACTGCACTGCGTGGTGCAAACAGTCACACAGCCACCGAGATGTACTGGTTAGCCAGACAATTTTCCCTCTCAGATGTCCTTTAACAGTGAAGCAGCCCTGACTCCAACAGGTTGAAGTATATCTTGTGTTTGCCAGGATCCAAACAAACACGGAGTTTACTGCAGCTCTGAAGCTGGCATTCTCACTGCGCTGATGAGCCACCTTGTTCAGAAGCCAGGGCTGATACGATAAGCTACCCACTTTTACCTGTTTTGAATAATAAAGAATCTCTGTAGGAAAAGTGTTCATTTAATCAAGCTGAGGACATGGGAAACATGCAAAAACTCAAAGTCTGCAAACTGTAACTAATATTCTGTAATATTATTTGTTGAATTTGCCTTTACGTCAATTGAGAAGTCAATTTAGTTTTATAATTGATTTTCTGGCCTTACTCTTTCAAGTTAACTATGTAAAAAATTGAACCAAATATTTATGGAACTGAATAAGCAGCAGGAGGGAGGGACTTGCAAAGGAAAAGATGAAAGCTGGAATTTTCAAAGGAGCAAGAGGGAGCTGAGTATCCAGCCACCATGGAATCCCAATGGGCTTGGGTGCACAAGTCCTGCAGGGCCCCACAAAAATCCCAGGCTGGAAAAATTAAATATTTACTGCATGGCAAAGAATAAGGGAGGAGATGCGAAGTAGTTACGTGTTGTGAACAGTGAAAATTGAAGAAGAGGGATTATTTCCAGTGAGTATTAACAAGAAATAAAGAAGAGAAGCGTGTCAGCTGCATAGCAGGAAGAAGATATGTCACCACTGCCATCACTAACAGCAGCATGCACCTAGTCCTGAATTTGGATCTTAAAAAATAAAAGAGAAAAAGATAAAAGAGAAAAAACAATCACCACTGACTGCACATTACATTTTTAGGAGGTAGGACAGGAACAATATTGCCAGTAATATTATAGAAAAGGCAGCAAAACAGAGTAAAGTGATTTGAGTAATTTAAGTAAGCAATTATCACAGAATTAATTAAGATCTGGGCAAGACTACAGAAAGGGTTGATTCTGAGTATTCTTACAAATGAAGAAAATGACAGACAACTCAACTCTTCAACAATACTCTTCCATATGAAATAGTAAAGGTGCCCTTTCAGTGATGAGTGTTGTTCCTCAGGAGTTGGTTTTGGGACTGGCACTGTTTTACATCTTTGTTGGTGACACGGATAGTGAAATTGAGTGCACTCTCGGCAGGTTTGCTGATGACACCGAGCTGTGTGGTGCAGTTGACACAGTGGAGGGAAGGGATGGCATCCAGAGGGACCTGGGCAGGCTGAGAGCTGGGCCTGTGCAACCTCATGAGGTTCAACAAGGCCAGGTGCGAGGTCCTGCATCTGTGCTGGGGCAATCCTAAGCACAAATACAGGCTGGGCAGAGAATGGACTGAGAGCAGCCCTGAGGAGAAGGGCCTGGGGTGGTGGTTGGTGGAAAGCTTGACATGAACAGGAAGTGTTCAAGGCCAGGCTGGATGGGGCTTTGGGCAACCTGGTCTGGTGGGAGGTGTCCCTGCCCATGGCAGGGGGTTGGAACACGGTGGTCTTTAAGGTCCACTCCAACCCAAACCATTCTGTGATTCAGATGTATACTTCAAGACTGGATCTGCTCTACCCCACTAGGAATGAATACTCCTTATCACAAGCATATATAAATTTACATATTTTGTTAATAAATAAAAAACACTGTGATTCAGCAATCCTTTACTGAGTATCTTCATTTCCGACTCCTCTCTTTCAATTAAGTAAATGCTATACTTTCACAGACATTATTTTACTTCCTGCTGTTCCACTAATAAATACTACTTTCACTGATCATAGATTAAGCTTTTTATCATTATTTTTACATTAAGTCGGCCATTCCTTCTTGTAAGCAACTAGTTTGTGCTCAGCATCAAACAATACTGCTTCTATAGCAGAAACACAAGAAAAGTGGAAAAGGTGCAGCCACCACCACTGTTCAGAGACAGGCAAGTACACACAACAGAAGCATAAAATAGTGGGAATTTAATTTTGACTTGTATTTCTGAGATCATCTCCTTACAGTCACGCTATTTATTTTTATGCCTGTGGTTATAAATCCTGTAACTAGGTTCCACAGTTGGAGAATTTGGCATGTAACAATGGGCTTAAATTGGGCATCATAGGAAATCTTCTTGCCCAGACACTGAAAGTCAAGGTGACAGACTTAGATTGAAATGATTTATTAAGATAGATTTAGACGGTGTCCAAGCCAGGAGACAGTTGAACTGAGCTCAATGCAGAAGCCCAGGCAGCTGCTGAAGCTCTCCGTATCACGTATTTGCAGAGGTTGATGATTTGTGCTGGGGTCTGGATAGAGCAACCCTTGCACGCAGCTCAGGTACAGTAAACAGGAAAAGAAGGTGGGTTCAGATTCTGCCTCTAGCTTGAGTGTAAAAGGCTACATCTTGGCTCTGGAGGCACCTGCAGCAAACTGCAAGGAGGTGTCTCCAGAACAAACATATGCCTGATCTTCCCAGGAAACCAAGGCTCTGCTCTGCCAGGGGTTGGTACTACCAGAAAGACAGCTCAGTCTTGCTTCTGCCTGGGGATTAGGAGAGTTTGATATCTGCATGGCAAGAGGAAAACCTTTGTCTAATTTCTGCCTCTATTCAGCATAACTGAAACCTACTTCCTACACTGCCCAGGCTATACATAGATTATAGATTTCTGAATCAAACAAGGAGGATGAATACGGGTGCTAACTGGCCATAAATATGAGAGAAAACAAGAAAATGACATAGCTGTGACTCATGGAAGTAGAAGGTCAGAGACCTGGACAACTTTAAGGTCAGGCACCAACCAAATCTGGGACTTAAACTTCACAGACTATGTTGTTTGTTGGATTTAGTCTAGATTCTTCCTTCACTGTAAGCAATGGAGTGTGTGATTCAGGACAGTACTTCCTTTGATATCAGTGGTATGAATAAAATTAATTTCTGGATGGAAGTAATAACAGGCACATAACTCAGGCTACTCATTAATATCCTACAGCAT